CCCTCGCGCTCTCCGCCTCGTTCCCCCCTCGCGCTCTCCGCCTCGTTCCCCCCTCGCGCTCTCCGCCTCGTTCCCCCCTCGCGCTCTCCGCCTCGTTCCCCCCTCGCGCTCTTCCTACCTTTACATTTTGTGGTGAGTGTACGGCCGCGTCCTCCCATAGGGAAGAACAGGCTGCTGCGTACAATCACATGCAGCACCTTTCATTCTGTGAGCGGTCCAATACGGCCTTGCACGCCGCACGATCTCTCCGGGCCGACTCTAAGCTGTGTGAATGAGGCCTAATACTTTGTGTGTCTGATCTTCTTTGTATCTGCTCCTCAGTTCTCCGTGCTGTTTGATGAGCTGTCTCAAGCGATAGAGGACATAATGGCCAAAGGTCACATGGGTCTCATCACCGGCCTGGCCGAAGCTTGCAAGAGGTTGTCGTGCCGCCAGTCGGAGCTGGTGTCCCATCTCATGGAGGTGAGCATCTCACAAGTCCGGCTTATTCCACTTCCTCTCAGACTTCCGGTGTTAAAGTCCCTTTCCTCCCACCGCAGGCCTTCCACTGCGCAGCTCCGGCCTCCCGCCGCCTCACCTGCGTCCCGCTCTTCTTCTCACTGCTGACTTATGAGGTTTATTATAAGACCGGAGAGGAGGAGACACCGCCAGAACACACGGTAAGTGACGGAGGTTGCCGTATCCTACTTAAGGCTGAACTCCGGGCAAACGGCTAAATACACATATGATCTACATACAGAGCTCAAGATTTCAGGTCCTGAGCTACTAGCCAGGCCTTAAGTTACTCGCCACCAGTTGTCCTGCCTGACCCCCACTCCATCCTATCCTTCTTGTGCACAGATGTACCGAGTGTACCTGAGAACAAACTAATCATTCTCTTGCTGGACCAATACCGGGCGTAGCACAAACACACACAGGGCATATGCACAGCACAACACACAGGGCATTACACATACGCACAGCACAACACACACAGGGCATATGCACAGCACAACACACAGGGCATTACACATACGCACAGCACAAACACACACAGGGCATATGCACAACACACAGGGCATTACACATACGCACAACACAGAGGGCATATGCACAGCACAACAGACAGGGCATTACGCACAGCACAAACACACACAGGGCATATGCACAGCACAACACACAGGGCATTACACATACGCACAGCACAACACACAGGGCATATGCACAACACACAGAGCATTACACATACGCACAACACAGAGGGCATATGCACAGCACAACACACAGGGCATTACACATACGCACAGCACAACACACAGAGCCCTGTACATATGACAGCTGCCTTACCTGCTAGAGGATTGGAATTTTTGTCAATCCATTTCTGAGATTTACACAGCCCTGCCACCCAGCACACACTATACATGCTGACCCGACTTTTCTTTCCTGAATTTAAGCAACAAAGACTGACCACTTTCCCACCCCCAGACTGTGATTGGACAATGAAGGAGCAGCAAGACTGTGATGAGTCATTCCTCTGCTCCCTCCTTTTATCTGAATTTTCCTTAACACATGTGCCTGCAGAACACCTAATGGCCTCCATGTGCTGCCCTTCTCTCTCCCGGTCTGAGCTCTGCTGTACAGGGGATTCGATTTACAGCGATACCAAGTCAAACTTGGATATTAAAAAAAATTATTTTTCCTTTAGGATAACGCGGACGCCAAGCTGCAGTCGGTGAACTATCACGGCTCCCTGCTGGTCCAGCACCTCCTGCACTTTGAGGACCCTTTACCGGCTCTGCAGAGTCTGGGGAACATGGCGGAAGATGACCTCCGTACGGTGGCTTGTAGCCAGGCCGGCAGCCATGTGTTCGATGCCCTCCTCAACAGCAGCACTGTAACGGAGAAGCAAAGGAAGAAGGTTTTACGGAAACTGCGGGTAAGCATGGAGGAAATTTGAAGCTCCAATGCTCTGCAACCGAGTTATCATCCATTTTATTTGTCGTTGAATCGAAGTCATGTGACCACACCACTGCCGCCCCCCGAACCCGCCCTCTACTTTGTGATCTGTCTAAATCAGATCTGGGTAATTTATAGTTTGTGGGCCGTAGCTGGCCCTTGGACTGTGGCTGTCAAGCCTGCTGACCTGTGCTCGGTTATGGCTGGCTGACAGGAGGCCGGTACATCCATTGCAAGCCATAGCCCAGCGCAGGTCGGGGATCAGTCCATGTCCAGACTGTGATTCTCTTTGGTCCTTGGTTGCTAGGACCACTGTATCCGGCCCTTGGTCTGCGGCTGTTGGGCCCACCAACCTGCGCTCAGTTATGGCTGGCTGACGGGAGGCCAGTGCGTCCACTGTAAGCCAAAGCCTAGCGGCTGTCAACGATCGGTCCATGTTCAGACTGTTTCTCTTTGGTCCTCGGTTGCTAGGACCACTGTATCTGGCCCTCGGGTTGCGGCTGTTGGGCCCGCCGACCTGCGCTCCATTATGGCTGGCTGACGGGAGGCCAGTGCGTCCACTGCAAGCCATAGCCCAGCTCAGTTAAGCTATCGGTCCATGTTCGGACTGTGTTTCTCTTCGGCCCTTTGTTGCTAGGACCCCCGGTGTCCTAGCAACCAATGTCGTCAGAGGTCCTCCTCTGCAGTCATTGGTGGCTAGGGCTTCTGGGCATGGGAGGGTTTAGTTTCCCTCCCTGCAGCGACTAAAGCATGGTACCGTGCAATGCACCTACTGTCGACAACCGCAACACACAGTATTATGGTTTGGAGCCAGGAGGTGCTTTTGGGGTGCCATTCAAATGAATGCTGCTGCCCTGTAACGCACGGCCGGCGCCCTCCACAGCCATCCCAGTTTCCTATGTGGCCCCCAGAAAAACTTGATTGACTACCCCTGGTCCGAATGGGCCAATCCAATTCCGCCTTGGTGTTCCTACTGCAAGTTAGAAGATGATGGGAGGATCTGATTGGTTGCTGTAGACAGCCCAGTTCTTTTACGCATTACCAGGCCCTGCCAATACGTACCCGTCCCTTTCTTTTGCAGACCCACTCTGTGGATTTGGCGCGCAACAAATATGGAAGCCGAGTGCTGGACCGTATCTGGAACGCATCCACCATGGGGGTCAAAGAGGAGATTGCGCTGAAGCTGGGTAAGGCCTCGTGAGCTTGTGCGCATGCCGAATGCTAAGATATATACACAATAATAAGTGATAAATACGTCTTTCAATGACCCCGGCAATGAACCAGAACCTTCAAATCTACATCACGAGCTATACTGGGGTGACTTCTCTCCTTTTTCGGTCCATATTGATTAATTGTTAGGGGACTCCATTCTTTTATGCTCTTGCAGGATAATCTCAACCAATGAGATTCATTATTTCATCTTGCACCTAAGAGGCAGCTGCAGTCTGGCTGCATGGTGCAACACAAGTTGCATTAAAGTGTAACTCCACCCCAAGCAGTTTCTGTATCCGGGGTAGAGCAGGAGAAGGTTTACACCCCCTACGGGTCTTTCTAGGACCGTAGTGGGGGGCGTCACCCCCTTAGTTTATCTGGTCACACAAGTAGCTTAGCCGAAAATACAAGTGTAGAGCACTACAAGGGGCATGGAACACCACTAAGGGCATGCCTGGGGATGTAACTCCTCCCCTTCTCTACTAAACATGGACATCCATTATGTGTGGAGTTGATTGATACTCTTCACCTTGATGGACTTTTGTTTTTCTCTCACAGTTGAACGGCTCCGCGAGCTGCAGAACGATCCCGTCGGTCACCACATCGTCCGGAACTTTGCCCTGGCGCACTTCGTGAACCGGAGGAAAGACTGGGAGGAACATCAGCAGGCGGAGAACAAACGGCGCAAGATGTTCGCCGAGATCCTGGAGGACTGATGTGGACCTGTTCTCACCAACGTTGTCAGCGCCATTTTTTTTGTTGGGCTGCGTTTAATCTTTGATAGCACGTTGGCTATTATTACCTAGAACTCCCGCCTTAAAGGTTAACTCCGTTCCCAATCAATACTTAGTTTGGGCAGCAATGGCGGACTCGGTCGGCTACCTCCCATTGTGACCACCTGCTGTAAGTGTTATATAACTGCAGTGAGTGACACCTTCATCGTGGAGACGCTACTACAGACACCTCTGGGTCACATGACGCAGTAGATCAGGGTCAGGCAACCTTGGCACTCGGGCTGTTGTGGAACTACAAGTCCCATGAGGCATTGCAAGAGTAACAGACACAGGTATGACTCCCAGAGGCAGAAGGATGATGGGATTTATGGTTTCACCACAGCCGGAGTGCTAAGGTTCCGTACTCCTGCAGCAGATGGTCCAACCCGACTGAAACTGCATTTCTACCATCACATCCTGCTTTTAAAAGGAAGCGGCCATCTCAATACTTTCCTGCCTGTTGCACCTTCCCCCCCAGCAGCAGTTAAAGTAGATATAACCCCCGATCACACCAATCTCGTGTCAGCTTTATCATATTCATGACATTTTTTAATCATTATAAAGCTGCAGCCGTCATTAAAATAATCCCTGGTGATCCTGCCACGATGGCGCTTGCTCCGGCACTTCCTGTTACCGAGTGACAACGCTCTGTCCCTGTTTCCTAACTGTGCTCCATTTCAGCACGCATTACACAGACACGCTCCACTGTTGTCGCCATCAGGAAGCTGAAGTGCATGAAGACAGGAAGTGGCTGGAGGAGATCATCAGCACTAAGATGTGGCAAAATGTTATTAAAGGAGAACTATGGGGTCAGTGTTTTTCCCCATATTTCTCCTTAGGGTAACGGGAGGACACAAACTAGCCTCCTCCCGTTACCCTAAGCTCAGTATACCGCGAGCTACAGCTCGCGGTATACTGAGACGCTGCAGCCGGAGCGGATCCCGACGTAGATGACGGGATCCGCCCAGCTGCCTCTTCCTATCTAGAGGCAGAGCCAGCTGTACCCTCCCCCGTCCGTTCCGCCAGTCCGTGCTGGCGGAGAGGGGTATCCAGCCCCTCCCCCAGTCACGGCAGAGAGCCGTGACAGGATCGAGAGGTGAGCGAACGCCGGTATGTGTTCCCTCACTTCCCGATCTACTGAGCCGACCTGTGACAGTCTCATTGTCACAGGTCGGCTAGAACTATGAGGTGAGTGAGAAGCATCCCCCCCCCCCTCATATTTCTCCTTTTAAGAAAAAAAAGGCCAATGTGTATGACGCACAGCGCAGTTGGGTAGTCAGACATTACACATACTTTACTACTACTGTCCGATATGTGACCACGGGGGAAGTGGGTTGTGCGGGTTTGCTACCGTCAGAGCAGGTGCCTGGTATGTTATGAGACCACTCCTGATGTGTAGCGTCACGTGACCTTGTTGCAGACCAGTCGGCGTCTAGTATGCACGTGGATCAGCCAGTTCCGATTGGACGGACCGGTCTGCTCAATGGACTGCTGACAACAGCAGCATTGGCCATTACAGGAGAGAAGAGCACGGATCATACCTGGAGAGAGCGACTGGTCCCTGCCTGTATTGTATATATGACATCCGTCACTTGTGTACATAACTGACTTTCTTCAATAAAATATTTTGTACGGATTTCATTTTTATGCTGCGACTGACTCATGAATAAATAAATAATGAGGGAACTGGGTATACTGTAAATAAGACCTAGCTCATCTGGGAGTAATTTGGTCCCCCTCCGTGTAAACCCCCCACCCCCTTCAAGTGTCATGAAGCAATATTCCCCCTCCCTCCCCAGCTCAGTGTCCCCCTCCCCATTTCTTTGGTTGCTAGGATGCTGATGGCTGGGCTGCCTATATCCTTGCAACCAATGACCCTGTGTGGCGAGGTGGCCAGCAACCTAGTAACCAATGATGCTGTGCAGCCGTGATGACACTCAGCCATTGGTTGTGGCTGAGTGTCATCACCTGGGCTTGTTGCGCATTGTCATTGGTTGCTCGGATGCAGGTGGCCACGCATTGTTGCAACCAATGACCCTTTGCGGGGAGGCAGCCAATTACACATTGCAGCCAAGTGTCATTGGTTGCTAGGATGCTGTCAGCTTCACTGCATCAGTAGTTGCTTGGACACCAATTGGCTGTGGCTCAGAGTCATCAGCTGGGCTTGATGCACAGTTATTGGTTGTTAGGATGTAGGTAGCCTAGCAGCCAATGACCCTTTGCGGGGAGGCAGCCTGCATCTTGGAAACCAATTGTGCATTGCAGCCAAGTGTCATTGGTTGCTAGGATGCAGTCAGCTTCACTGCATCATTACTTGCTAGGACACTAATTGGCTGAGCATCATCTACTGGGCTTGATGCACAGTTTTTGGTTGCTAGCCCAGCCACCAGCATTCTAGCAACCAATGACACTGCGAGGAGGCAGCCTGCATCTTAGCAACCAAGTACGCTGCACAGCTCTGTCATTGGTTGCTAGGATGCTGTCAGCTTCACTGCATCATTTGTTGCTAGGACGCTGATTGGTTGTGGCTGAGTGTCTCCGGCAGGGCTTGAAGCACACAGCCCTTGGTTGCTAGGATGCAGATGTCCCAGCAACCAAAGACAATGAATAGGGAGGCAGCCTGCATCTTAGCAACAGATAATGCTGTGCAGCCGAGTGTCATTGGTTGCTAGCATGCTGTCAGCTACACTGTATCATTGGTTTCTAGGATTCTGATTGGTAGCTAGGCCATACTGTCGGCCCCACAGCATCGTTGGTTGCTGGGACGCAGGTGGCTGCAAGCCTGTCTCATAGCAAAGACGTAACAGAATCTGCACAGATCACGGAAGGAGTACTTTGTGCCGATGATGCATCTTTGCAACACATTCATCTTCCTGACACAAACATAAATTTCATTAAATAAAAACCGTTTGCTAAATGGTGGTGAGGACAATTTAATTTTTACGCTTGACATGTTTGGTGTCTATTTACCCGACGTGACCCCGTATTTTATATTTTACCAAAAAACTGGGTAATGTTAGTTGTTTTATAGCATAATGTAAAAAAAAAAAATTTTCCTCAAAATTTTCAGTAATTTCTCCTGAATATAGTAAAAAATAAAACCCGCAGTGGTGATTAAATACCACCAAAAGAAAGCTCTATCTGTCCCCAAAAAATGGTATAAAATTCATTTCAGTACAGCGTTGCGTGACGGAATAAATGTCAGTCAAAGTACCGCAGCGCTGAACACTGAAAAATGGCCTGGCCAGGTAGGGGATCTAAACACCTGGTCTTCAAGCAGTTAAACAGCACCTGCATCACTTTATGGTTTTCAAGGAGTGTATCTAAACCCAGAACAGAGTAGAGAGCGGTGAGATAGTTTTATGTTTAATACATCGGGGCCCCGAAGGGGACAGTGATGGGAACGTGGCCCCGGGACTGAGACAGAAACAACTCGACGTAGAAGAAAATACCACCTATTACATTTATTTTATTGCATTGATAATAATTGCATCCCCATTTTGATAAATCAAGAAAACTCCAATGTTTACTCATTGACATAAATGAATGCTCAGCGCAGCCACGTTGTGGTTGGCAAACGCCAAGCAGAGGTGACGTACACTGATTGGCAAACGCTAAGAAGAAGCGACGTACGTTAGCGGACGTCACTGTACGTGCGCCGTTTTTTCCTATTGGCTGAAGCCTCTCACCGATCAGTGCTCTCGGCGTTCGTCGGCTCAGACCTTTCCCTGCAGGCTCGTTCAGCCGCCGGCCGATCACAAAGAAGCGGGGCAAGATGAGCCTAGCGGAGTCGAGGGCGCAGAGGAAGACGGCGGGGAACCGCATGTCCGGCCTCTTGACCCGGGAGGAGGAGGACGACTTCTATAAGACTACTTACGGCGGCTTGGGTTCTGAGGCGACAGAAGGGAAGTAAACAGAACCCAGAGACTGACACCCTCACAAAACATGTGGCCATACTTGAATATATATTGCTGTATTAGCTGTCAAGAGATATGCTCAGACCTAGGGGGGGGATGCACTGCTGTAGAGGAGTATAGCCTGGTCCAGGACACACCCTTTGCCTGTGATTGGTCTGTAAGGGAACAGCAGTGCTTTGATCAGGTTCAGTGTTAGGGTGAGCACAGGTCAGGAGAGCCGTGATTGGCTGAGTGTCACCCCTGCCCTCTCCTGATGTGGGTGGAGCTTCCCCAGAGAGATCAGGGTGGGGGGCAGGTAGCCGAGGCCCTTGAAACGCGTTGGCATAACCTCCCTGCTTATCTCGCCGCCTGTTTTTTTTAGGAATCCGGGGACGATGAATATAACGAGGACCGCTCCGAGAGCGAGGATGAAGTGGACTCCGACTTTGACATTGACGAGGGGGACGAGCCCACCAGCGACCACGAGGAGGACGAGCCGAAAAAGAAGCGCCGGGTGGTGACCAAAGCTTACAAGGTACGCGAGGGGCCCGATTCCGGAGCTTCTTGATGACATCACCGCAGCCCCGGCCTCAGTACTCCTCTCCACAGCCCTCAGCCCTGATGCAAGCAGTGGGCGGGCTCTTGGGAGGAGTTATGCAAATTTGACAATTGAATCGAGCGATAATCTTTATGATCCAATCTGGCCGTTCGCAGGAGCCCATCAAGCTACTGAAACCGAAACCCCCCAAACCTAAGCCGGAGGCGGCATCCAGCAGCGCCCCCAAGAGCCGCCCAGAGAAGCCTCGGCCACAGGAGACCCCGGAAGACAACGTGGACAGTGAGTATTGTGGCGGCCATCTTGTCAGGGGGCCCGCGCAGCACAGCAACGGTGGGATAAGTCCTGTCTGCGTTTCCCCTCATCAGGTCGGAAGCAGATGCGGCAATCCACCACGGAGCACACCCGCCAGACCTTCCTCCGCATGCAGGAGCGCCAGGTGCAGTCCCGCAAGAAGAAAGGGCCCCATCCCGACCGGCCGCTGACACAGGAGGAGCTACTGCAGGAGGCCAAGATCACAGAGGAGATCAACATCCGCTCCCTAGGTACGCTGAGCCAGTCACCAGAGGAGCTTACACTCTCCCCCCCACAGTCACACACTATTATTATACATGTATATAGCTCTGACATATACCGCAGCGCTGTACCGAGGACACTGAGCCGGCCTCACCAGTCTCTTCTTCTGTTCTTGCCCCGGCAGAGAATTACGAGCGTCTGGAGGCTGACAAGAAGAAACAGGTTCAGAAGAAGAGGCCCTGCGTCGGGCCCACCACCCGCTACCACTCTGTGACCATGCCGCTCATCACCGATCTGTCCGTAAAGGAGGAGAACGTGGATGTGGAGGGGTAAGTATCCACTTGCACATTGTAATACCATACCCATAGTTCCTGTACAGTGCTCATTTGCATATCTCCACCCCTAACATGTAGCACTCATTTGCGTGTCCCCACCCCTAACATGTAGTGCTCATTTGCATGTCTCCACCCCTAACCTGAAGCACTCATTTGCATATCCACCCTGACCTATATTGCTCATTTGCATGTCCCCAGCTTAGACTTGTAGTGCTCATTTGCATGTCTCCACCCCCTAACCGGCAGCACTCATTTGCATATACCTAACCTGTAGCCCTTATTTGCATGTCTCCACCCCAACCTATAACCCTAATTTGCATGTCTCCACTCCTAACCCGCAGCACTCATTTGCATATGCCTAACTTGTAGCCCTTATTTACATGTCTCCACCCCTAACCTATAACCCTCATTTGCATGTCCCCACCCCTAACCTGTAGCCCTTATTTACATGCCTCTACCCCTAACCTATAAGCCTCATTTGCATGTCTCCATCCTAGACTTGTAGTGCTAATTTGCATGTCTCCACCCCCTAACCTGCACCACTGATTTGCATATGCCTAACCTTTTAGTCTTTAAATGTCTCCAGCCTAACCTATGACCCTCATTTGCATGTCTCCACCCCTAACCTATAATCCCCATTTGTATATATCCACCCTAACCTGTAGTGCTCATTTGCATGTCTCCACCCCTAACCTATGACACTCATTTGCATGTCTCCACTCCTAACCTATGACACTCATTTGCATGTCTCCACCCCTAACCTGGCTGCTCCTCAACTAAAGGGAACCCCGAAGCCTTTAAAAAACCAAATCATTCTTTTTAGGTTGGAGCAGGAGCAGACGGGCCATCCGTCCACAGCGCCCCCGGCGGGCAAATGCTCCCGCACCTTCATCACCTTCTCCGACGACGAAACCTTCGGCCGCATCTTCCCCAAAAACAAATCCAAGATGCCCATCCGGGAGATCTGCCCGGTCACCCACAAGCCGGCCCAGTACCGGGACCCCATCACCGACATCCCCTATTACAACGCCCGCGCCTTCAAGATCATCCGCGAGGCCTATAAGAAGTACATCACGGCGCACGGCCTGCCCAACGCCGCCATGGCCGCCGCCATGTGCCCGGCCTCTGGCGCTCCCGACGCCGGCCAGCGCAACACGCGGCAGAAGATCGTCATCAAGCAGAGCGTTCCGGTCACATAACGCCGCGGCGTTGGGGGTCTCATTAATGACTATGGGAGGGCGGACGATGGTCCGGCGATCCTGTTCACATGGCGGCGATCGCTGGCCGCACTTCAGCGCTGTCATTATTTTTTTTCAAGATGGCGGCTGTCTTTTTTCCCCCATGACTTGGTGACTTCCTGCGAACAGTTGGGGAAGTTGGGAGAACGTTTCTGTATAGACGCAGTTATAGGGACGGACGTTCTTAAAGGGCCAGTCCTCCCATCAATGTTATAAACACGGGTGAAGGTAAGTCAGGTGACTGGGCCCCCCCAGCAGTACAATCCCCCTTGTCTGGTTACTGGCTCTGTGGCGTTGGGGTGTTACATTCCCCATAATATAACATAGCAGGGATGGGGGGGGGGCCCAATAAAACCCCACTGTGCCATTCTGTTCTATAGGAATAGGCATCCTCTGCCCCCCAGCTGTGCTAAACAACAAATCCCATCATGCCTCTGTCTCTGGGAGTCATGCCTGTGGCTGTCAGAGTCTTGCAATGCCTCATGGGACGTGTAGTTCCACCACAGCTGGAGGGCCGAGGTTGCCTTCCCCTGGTGTAGGGGCTCCTCAGCTGTAAACAGATTCCAGTCTGCCGCTGTACAGGGAGAGCGCTGTCCTACAGAAGCATGTTCCGGAATTTTCCGCTACACAAATGTGTATGTGAATGATCCCCGAGCGTTCAATGCGCTATACATGATCGTCGTGTCAGATCATCACTTTTGTTTATAATAAAATGTTGCCACTCAATACATTGTAACGCGACTTTTATATTGTGGTCACATGACCACTATTCTTGCGTCAAGGGCTGGGGGGCGGAGACTTTTGCCGTTGTCACGCCCTTTTGCACAATGGTAATGGCTGTACGTGGGCTGAGGACGGAGAGATGAATGAGATCGGCAGGGAAATGCGTTTCCCATCTATGTACAATGTGTCAGGCTGGGTGGGGGCGTGTCTCCGTTACCTGGGGGCGGGCACCTGAGTGACATCAGCACCAACCAAGGAGAGCGGTTCCCATCTAGGTACAATGTGTCAGACTGGGTGGGGGTGTGTCTCCGTTACCTGGGGGCGGGCACCTGAATAACATCAGCAGGGAAATCCAATCCCCCTCTATTTACAATGTATCAAGCAGGGTGGGGGGTGTGTCTTCATTACCTGTGGGCGGGCACCGGAAGAACATCAGCACCAGCCAGGAAATGCGCTCCTAGTCTACCATGTACCATGTGTCGGGGGAAGGAGGGACGGCATACGGAGACGCAGGATCTCTACCATTGTGACTACTAATAAACATTCATTTTTCAAGTATAGGAAAAATAAATCTGCGCTCCTGGATATGGCTAAATTGTACTTGTATCAAAAAGCAGCTATGAAAATAAAGGAGGTGAACCGCCTTTAGATAGAGTACTTGGAACACAGCGCTAGAGATAAAGTCAACAAAATATGTGTAAATATTTCCCTGCACAAGGAGAGAGCAGCAGTGGGCGGTCTTTATTACAGGAGGGGGCGGAGACAAGACCAGTCGCCCTGCACAAGGAGAGATAGCAGCAGTGAGTGTTCTTTCTTACAGGAGGGGGAGGAGACGAGACCAATCACCCTGCACAAGCAGAGAGAGCAAGGAGCCGACCAATCACGTGACACCATGCTAAGTTGCCGTTCGTTCTTGTCCATTGAGGGACACAGGATTTTGGAGACCGATGGGTTATAGGTCTGGACACTGGAAGCAAAAACAATAACCCCGCCTCCTCCTCCCAGCATGCCGCAGATCGTTCTAGTGTCCTAGGAGGATGGAGAAGGACCTTCCAGCCATTGCTCCTCACTGCGAGTGACCCGCCTGTGGCTGCTGCCCGCCTCGGGGTACACTGACTCTTTATCGGGGGGGCTCAGTCCTGATCCGTGTGGGGATGGGTAAAGCTCAGTCACTATAGGAAGCCGAGCCTGCCTATGGAATGAGGGAATGACTCCCCATGTACATATATCTACAGGAAACATTCACGCCAAGATACAGGAAGCCGATCTCTTTCACTGCGTGTGAAGAATGAAAGCTTGGAGCAGATGTGTGAATGTTTCCTGCAAACACCCCTCCCCCACCGCCACCTACCCCGATTCATCACAACTCCCCCCCAACCCTGGACAGGTGGCATTGGGGCAGCTAAACAAACATTGACATGTACGCATGTGACATCGGGGGAGGGGGGCTATATTTACACACACCAAAATAGTTGAATACCCTCTCTGTGTCCGCCCCCCCCCCCTTTACTTCCTGTCCTGGAGATACAACAGGAAGTGAAAGTAATCACCCTGAAGTGGAAGAGAAATGCTCTCTTAGCTGTCATGAGAGCAGGTGTCCCCATCGGAAGCTTTTCCCTCACTTCCTGTTCTAGTGGCAACGGTAACAGTTTGGATTTGGCCGTCACTTCCTTTGTCGGTGACACCAGAAATAGAAGATGGCAAATCCTCCCCAGTGGGGACACTAATAAAAATCTATCAGGGACGCTCACCCTTTACTCCATCCAATCACCCCCCAAAAAAATTGACAGTAGACACCTCAATGGGAGGGAAATCCGAACAGTCCCAAATCCCTAGTATTCGTGGCTGTTGGAGTCGTGCAATGCCTCCTGGGACTTGGGACTTGTAGTTCCACCACAGCTGGAGGAACAACGTTTGTATAGCAGGGGTAGGTATACTCTGGCACTCCAGCTGCAGTGGAACTACAAGTCCCAAGATGCCTTGCAAGACACTGACAGCCACAGAAATGTCTCCCGGAGTGCTACAGACATGACTCCCAGATGCATGATGGGATTTGTAGTTTTACTTTCCATGATGTAGTTCCACCACAGCTGGAGTGCCGAGCTTGCCAGCCCCTGTCAGGGTCCTGCAATGCCTCATGGGACTTGTAGTTCCACAGCAGCGAAAGGGCCGGAGCTTGCCTACTCCTACTATACAGCAGTGGTGTCCAAAACGTGTCCCTCCAGCGGTGGTTGCTGCAAGCCACTGACAGCCAGTCACACCCCTTGTGTAGTTCCCCCCCTCAGATCCCTCAGTCAGCAGGCAGGCACGGTACAAGGTAAGCCGTCTCTCGCTCCTCTGTATTGTATTCTCTGAACTTTCCCGAGAAAGTGTTACTTTGTATCCCTGCGATCTCCCGAGACGACAATCCCGAGAAAGTGTTACTTTGTATCCCTGCGATCCCCCGGGACGACAATCCAGAGAAAGCGTTACTTTGTATCCCTGCTATCACCCAGGACGAGAATCCCGAGAAAGTGTTACTTTGTATCCCTGCGATCCCCCGAGACGACAATCCCGAGAAAGTGTTACTTTGTATCCCTGCTATCCCCCGAGACGACAATCCCGAGAAAGTGTTACTTTGTATCCCTGTGATCTCCCCGAGACGACAATCCCGAGAAAGTGTTACTTTGTATCCCTGCTATCCCCCAGGACGACAATCCCGAGATAATGTTACTTTGTATCCCTGCGATCTCCCCGAGACGACAATCCCGAGATAATGTTACTTTGTATCCCTGTGATCCCCGAGACGACAATGCCGAGAAAGTGTTACTTTGTATCCCTGCGATCCCCCGAGACGACAATCCCGAGAAAGTGTTACTTTGTATCCCTGCTATCCCCCGAGACGACAATCCCGAGAAAGTGTTACTTTGTATCCCTGTGATCTCCCCGAGACGACAATCCCGAGAAAGTGTTACTTTGTATCCCTGCTATCCCCCAGGACGACAATCCCGAGATAATGTTACTTTGTATCCCTGCGATCTCCCCGAGACGACAATCCCGAGATAATGTTACTTTGTATCCCTGTGATCCCCGAGACGACAATGCCGAGAAAGTGTTACTTTGTATCCCTGCGATCCCCCCGAGACGACAATCCCGAGAAAGTGTTACTTTGTATCCCTGCGATCCCCCGAGACGACAATCCCGAGAAAGTGTTACTTTGTATCTCTGCTAACCCTCCGGGTCGACAATCCCGAGAAAGTGTTACATTTGTTACCATTTCATTATCGATTAATCTCGCTTCTCAATACGGGGGGGCGGCATCAATGAGCGGACACCGCGTTTAATCTCTGCCGACATTTTTCGGCATTGGCGGACTTACCGCAAAGTTTCGGAGTTTTTCGGGTCCGGCGGCAGATGGTAACACAATAGGAGGAGGAGGTACGCCGCCATGTTCAGGGGCCACGGAGAGTTCAGCACCATATCGGCGACCATCGAGGGAAACGTTGCCCCCCCCCCCCCCCCGCGGCTATTTATAAAACACGTGAAGGCTGACTGGGCCCAAGAGCTTGCAATCTGACGTGTCCACGTTTAAAGGGGTACGCATGGGCACGTTTTATAGTTTTGGGCGGGGCTGGGGACCCCGATGGATTTTTATTGCTGGAAGCAGATGAAAGGTGTTGGGTGAGGGGGGCTGGATCTCCTAAATGTGTTCTGGGGTCTTAAATTCATTGCGCACATTACAATCTCCTTTTGCTTTCCCAACAAGTATGTCGTGGAGGGGAGACTAAGGAAATGCTTCCTCCTGCCTGCAGCAGACTGATCACTGGGGGAGGGGAGACTGAGGAATCTAGCACCCCCCCCTCCCCCCTCCCCCTCCAGCCATTTTCTGTATACACGGGGGGATGACGCCATGGCTATAATGTTGTGTTTTTCGCTGGCAGAGCCAACGCGGCGTTCCCGCGGTGTAAATCCCGGCGCCCGTTGCGGCCTTTTGTAATGGTTCCCGCGGGATGAGTGTTCTCATCCCCGTCCATCCTCTGTGCTGTCTCTGAGCTTTGAGGGTCTTGCTGGACGGATTATTTTTAACGCGGCCCCCCCCCACCCCCCTCCCCCCACTGGCATGGCTGGTGAACAGGTGGCTGTGTATATATATATATATACTGTATGGGGGGTATTTATAGCGGCCCGGTGCTAAAACCGAACAGAAATACTCTGGATATAGCGAGGAGGAGGAGCTAGACCGGCACCTGGGGGATGAGGACTCTACTACCCTTCCTCTCCACGGCCACTTTTATGGAGTTGGCCCCTGCAGTTCCTCTCCATAGCCATTATTATGCAGTTAGCCCCTCCCCTTCCTCTCCATGGCCATTATTATGGAGTTGACCCCTCCCCTTTCTCTCCATGGCCATTATCATGAAATTGGCCCCTCCCCTTCCTCTCCATGGCCATTATTATGCAGTTAGCCCCTTCCCATGGCCATTATTCTGGAGTTGATCCCTCCCGTTCTTCTCCATGGCCATTATTATGAAGTTGGCCCCTCCCCTTCCTCTCCATGGCCATTATTATGAAGTTGGCCCCTCCCCTTCTATGGCCATTATTATGGAGTTGGCCCTTCCCTATCCTCTCCATGGTATTTATTATGGAGGTGGCCCCTCTCCATGGTCATTATTATGGAGTTGGCCCCTCTCCATGGTCATTATTATGGAGTTGGCCCTTCCTCTCCATGGCCATTATTATGAAGTTGGCCCCTCCCCTTCCTCTTCATGGCCATTATTATGCAGTTGGCCCCTCCCCTTCCTCTCCATGGCCATTATTATGAAGTTGGCCCCTCCATGGCCATTATTATGAAGTTGGCCCCTCCCCTTCCATGGCCATTATTATGGAGTTGGCCCCTCCCTATCCTCTCCATGGCCATTGTTATGGAGGTGGCCCCTCTCCATGGCCATTATTATGGAGGTGGCCCCGCCCCTTCCTCTCTATGTCCTTTATTATGGAGTTGGCCCCTCCCCTTCCTCTCCATGGTCATTATTATGGAGTTGGCCCCTCCCCTTCCTCTCTATGGCCTTTATTATGGAGTTGGCCCCTCCCCTTCCTCTCCATGGC